CCCCCCCTCCCCCCCCGAATTTACCCTCTTAAAGTGTTTGAAAGGAAAATGATCTTAGCAGACTGAGCACTCAGTCCTACAAGGCTGCAAAATCTATGGTTTTATTTTTAACATAATTTGAATTAAATAAAGGCTTAAGCATTTTTTGCTTGAATTGAAGGCAAGACTAAGTAGACTTTATTTGCAGTGAAACTCCAGCTAAAGATATGTTTCTGCCATTATACTGTGCAGAATAAGGTCTGTGGCACCGTGCTAGCGAACAGTGCTTGCTTTTATGAAGCGCTGGCTTGTATGAGTTGATGTGAGAGGATATGCAGCTCCAGAGCAGTTCACTCCTTTCCCATTCTTAGCCCTTCGACGATGCAGTGATCACTTTGGACATTCTACATGGACCATGGTCTCCTTACACTTGCTTGACAGTGGCTCATTAACTGCATGTTAATTGAAAGTTTGTCAGATGATACAATTCAGTTACATTTTAAATGGATGCAGTAAGCATTACCTCTGTGATGAAAATCTCTGTAGAACTGATTTGTGAACTGATTTGGAGGGATTCAATGGCTTCCTCAGCAGCTCTGAGAGATCAGCATCAGGAGAGCAGGCAGAGGTAGCCATGCTCCCAGCAAAACAAATCCTACTCTTCTCTTTCACCCTAAGCAGCTTTAATCACTGCCCAGTATGTTCCCTTTTCAGGACATGTGTTAGGTAGGTAAATTTACTCTGAAGATCTGAGAAGCAAAGAAGAAAATGAGAAGAATCAAAAGTCTGGTTTGAATTCTGTAATCTAAATAGCTGAAAATGTTGAATTCCTTATCTGTCCATGGATTAAGTGGTCATAAAATTTTCCTAAAGTTTGACACAAATGTAAACGTATGTTAAAAAAAATGGATCTGTTTTAAACTAATGGACGAAAAATTTAAAATTTACATCCTCCATAACTCATCTTTTATACTTGGCCGCTGCAAAAATCCCTCTTCAGCGAGCAGTTTATAATGTATTCTGTACCTGCTTATATGCTTGGTTTCCATGTGGAGCCGATTTTTATTGCTGAGTTATAAACCCTCTGAAAACAGGGACTTGTAATGGAAGCACTGACAGACCTTTAACTAGGTCAGTCTTAGTCTGGCACCATTATCTTTGCTTTTGTTAAAACATTAAATGGTTGCATATTTGTTTTTTTTTTTTTTTCAGTCCCAGAATTTTAACATGGATATATTACTGAATTGTTCTTTCTTTAAAATGTCATGAACATGGAGCATTAGAGTTTATCCAGACTTTGTAGTCATCTTTAAAAGTAAATGGAACTGTTGTGTCTTACTTAATGATTTTCTTGCTTATATAGTACATTTAGTCTGTAGCATGTCATTACAATACTAATACCAAAGTTTGCTTTTTCTCCTGCTACCTTATTGTAGTCTTGAATTATGCTCTGTCTTTGAGGTCCTTTCTGCATAAAATGACAAGGATGTTTTTTTATTTGTCCCATTCAGGTGAAAAGCCATACCACTGCAACTTTTCTGAAGAGGAAACCCCAATGGTGACTTCTGAGTTGGATGAGCTCCCAAAGCTGGGAAGCCACAACACCAGAGAAAATGAAGCCAGGGAATCTAAACCAGAGATTCCTGCCCTGGTGTCAGCACTGGAGAGTGTTATCAAGGAGCCCTTTTTGAAATACCAAGATCTAAAAGCTTCTGCAGACATAAAGATGCCAGCATTTCACCACAGCCAAGGGCTTCCTTGCTCTAGTCGCATTGCTAGCTTTGCTTCGGGTATGGGCCAGACATCTCCAAATGTGGTCATGGACTTGAAAACGTCACTTGAAGTGCAGGCTAGTCGTGCTAGAGAAAATTTGCTAGACTTGCACAGGGAGTATCCTCTGATAGAAAAAGGTGCTGAAGTTCAAGAGGTAGCTCCACTTGATTTGAGTGAAAAATCAACAAGGGATAGTTCATGCAATAAAAATCTGAATGCATCCTTGCAGGCTGCTTTAATTATCTACCCATGTCCTTTCTGCAGTCACAAGACCTACTACCCTGAAGTCCTGTGGATGCACAAAAGAATTTTGCACAAAATCAGCTGTAACTCCATGGTCCCCCCTTGGGTTCAACAGAATGGATTCAAGAGTATTAAAAACAACCTGGTCTTTCTGGCAAGGAGTGGGCGTACTGGCCCCCCCCCTGTTCTCGGCGGTAAGGAGTGCCAGCCTTTGCCCATTGCCAGATTTACGCGCACTCAAGTGCCAAGTACATTGCCAGGGTCCAAAAGCAGCTCTCTTTCCGTTGGGATGACTGCAAAGTCTGGGAGCATGCATCAGGCAAAGGACAGTCATGCCTTCAGCCACTGTGGTCCACGCTTATCAGGTCTGGATGGGTACAGACAGCCCAAGTTAAACCATTCCCAGGAGCAATACAGCATAGCAGCACAACAAAAAAGTAAATATGAAGCAAATTCCAAACTTACGCAAATGGGAGCCTATAGCAGAAGCGTAACGCCTACTCAGCCGGTCATATCCAGACCTAGCACTCAGCCCACCAACAGTAAACAAGTGGATAAGTATGTGGCTCCCCAAGGAAGTAATAGCTTTGCCCCTCCAGGTAAGCACTGTGCGTCCGACCCCATGAAGGCCAAATTCAGCCCGCCGCTGCAGTATCATCCTCTGTGTAAAAGCGAGCAGTACACTAAACATGAAGAGCCATCAGTGCCTCAGCGGGAGTCTCACGTGAAAGCTGGGAATGAGGTGAGGACATTGGCAAACTGCACAGCGGTAGCACGAGCAAGTCCACTACTGCAGCCCCAGCCTAGTGCCGTGGGGGTTTCTCCAGCTTTACACTCCAGCAAACAGGATTTGGGATCAGATGGGCATGAGAAACGTTTGGACGTTTTAAATATCTTTAAAACATACATTCCAAAGGACCTTGCTTCATTGTACCAAACGTGCGGTGCCAACAGCCCTGTCCTGGATCACGCAGGTAAGATTTTCACAAGCCTTTCTGTAGCTGAGGATGCGGCTTCCTTGTTTCTGCTTCATTCAGAGTCACAACATGCTGTTTCACAGTTCCTTCCTTCTCTCTCTCTAACGGTTGGGATTACGAGTTCATTGTTTCTATCATTTCTGGATAGGCTTGAATAGGTTTGTTTACCAGTCTCTAACATTGCAGCATTCCCCTTTGTGCACTGTGTGACATTTTTGTTGCAGGTTAAATGTATCTGGTTCCACCTGGAGTATTAGTGTTCCTTTGTCCCCTCACTTCAAGAAGGCTGAGGTTGCACAGATGTGCTGTCACACAAAGATCCTCCTCATATGCTGGTGCTGGCACACATCGTCATCTTTTTGCTTCGGGCAAAATGAACGTCCTCTGGGGCTTATCTGTGATGTTATTTTGGAGGTTTTGTTCAATTTCCTCTGCAAACAAGTCTTCTAAGAACAGTGATAATCACTTGTCAGTGTCCTTTGTCTTTCTTGACAAAAGTCTTAAGATCTTCCTTGTCCATATCAAAGACTGCTGTTGTATTTTTCAAATGATTCTTTTGATCTGTTTGTATGTTTATAATTATAAAGAGAGGGGGCAGAATTCATGTAAGCTGGAAAGGCAGTTGTGCAAATAGCCAGTTTAAAAGTTCAGGGACTGAAAAAGTATCAGTGCCTCTCCTGTCACTTGCCAGTCAACTGCCACATAAAAAGAAGAATGAGGGGGAAAAAAAACAAAAAAACAACACAAAAAAACCCTAATGTATTTGCATGTGAAATCGTACCCTTCTGATGATCTGCCAGAATTAGTTTGTCTCAGTGGAAACTGAAAATCACACTGATTTATTACTCTTGAGATGGGTGTGTGGGTGTGTAGCGGGGGAGAATGGAAGCCATAGTCCCAGCTCTCACCGTTTGTAAACCATCCCTTATACGCTTCTTCTCTTTATAGAAGTTGTGCAAGAACTGAACTCTGTATGGAAAGAGCACGTGTTCCAGACCAGTGTTCTAGTGTCCTCATGTGACATAGTGGTCTCTGTTTTGTCAAAAGCATGTGTGAATTGGAGCTTGTGACCCAGTTTGCAAGTGGGACCAAACCCAGGGCATTTGGAAGCTGGTAGTCTGAGGCCAGCTATGGTCTAGTGCCCAGAAGGTGTGTGCAAGTTAACCACTTCGGTAGCTGTGAGACAAGGAAGGAGCCATAGTGTTTGATCAATTCTTGGTGGAAGGTCTTTTGGAGAAGACAGGAAGGCAAAATCTATCTGAAATAGTCCAGGAGGTGCACCTTTCAGCCACTCCATTGTGTTTTGCTCAATCATTTAAAAAAATAATGCTGCATAGGAGCCGACCGTTGTTTGAGTAGATCATTTTGCAGGTGGTTACAGGCTGCCTGACGATTGTAACTAACATCAGGCTCCTGGTTTTTGTTAAGGAAGCAGAGGAGGGCATGCTTAGTTTCTAAAACTGTAGCCTCAGCATTCCTGCTTTTGTTCAGCCGACTTTGCTTTCACCATCCTAGTGCCTAGGAATGTTGTCTAGTTCTTCCTTGCCTGCTTCCTGCTCTAAATGCCAGTTAATTGTTCCACCATCAGCTTGGGGTACCTTCACGTGGGTGCCCTCCCTGATGTTATTCAATACTTTGTTGTGTCAACCTGCTCAGAGAAATCTTATTGACCCACTGAGCTCCCAGATGTGTTAAAAGGGATGAAATGAAACAGTAAAAGCCAGGAACTAGAAACTTCCTTAGTGAATGCAGGCACCAGAAAAATCATTAGGACAACTGGGGCAAAGTAAAGTAGGGGCAGGGTTTCCAAGGGTGTCTCTATTTACCTGCTTTTTAAAAGAGAGGTTTTATTGCCAAAATGTTTTTTTTTTTTTTGCTGGGCAGTGACTTCCAGAGGCACTTTAACTGGAAGTTATTTAGTGCCCATCTCTGCTTTGAAATCTCTTCCTCCATTCCAAGTGTTTTACAGCAATCAAGTTTTCAGAATTTGAAACCTCTTTTTTTTTTTTATGTAGCTTGTCTTCATTTTATATACAACTTCCAGGTTGATGATGGTTCTCCAAACCAATTGGCATGATGGCTGTTTTTCATAGCACTAAAATAAAAAGCTGCTTCAGGCAAAAGGAACGAGATCCTACCAACTGCGAATAGAGGAGGGTAAATGAACCTTGTCTGAAATAACACACAACCCTAGACTGAGCCCTCTGAGTCAGTATGCATCATACAATTTAGTCTTAATGTGGCAGTGTGAATATGGCAGTCATGACATAAAGGACAACCAAAAATCCCACCTAGGTATACTATTTGTCACATTTTTTTCCCCAGTTGAATGTTCCTGATAGACTTTGCTTGCATGTTTGGTATACGACCTCATCTTGGATCATACTAGAATATTTTAGTGTGTGGTATTGCAGTGTTCAACTTGCTTTAGAGTGGCTGGATTTATTTCTGGGATCTTTTCTTTTATATTTGTGTTTATTCCAGTGTGTCCTTTGAAAAAAAGAGTTGTATGTACCATTGTGATATGGCTGCAAACACAAAGCTTGCTGAGCTTAGGCTAAGTTTGTTTCACACTGCCTAGTCTTTTCAAATGCTTGTAGAGAGAATCTTATTGTTATATTTAATAGGAGTTTTTAATTTTATTCATGATATTTACATGAATCGCCATATTAGGAAAGGATGGTTTATGGCAGCAGATGCACTCTTTTCCTGGAGCTCCTTTGATACCAGCTTTGAGCACTGGTTTCACAGTACGTCATGTTCATTTACCTTAATCTGCTAACACCTGTAGTCATCCACCCTCTTGTTCACATATAACCTGGGTGGTGACTCACAGGGGTGTTTCCTTGTGGCAATGATGCCCATCGTTCAAAGCTCTGAACTATGAAAAAGCCTTGTGGTGCCCCTTAGGAAATGCAACAATGGCAAATATGCCTGGAAGCAATCCGTTTTTTTTCACTTGCTTTTGAAATAACCACCATAAAGTGAGTGCCAAGGAGGGATTAGATCAAAGTCCTAACCGGCTCACCTTTGGCGTTTGTACAGGGTACTTTGGTTTACAACAGCTTTCTCAACCTTCCTTTATGCATGACTCAGGTGCTTAATGGCTGGTGAGACAAGTGTATTCAACTTTCACAGAGGGACACTTGGGGTATAGAGGGATTAAATGTCTTCCCAGAGGTGACAATAAACTACCCGAGGACCTTGGGTCTCCCAGGATTCACAGGAGCCAGTCTTCTGGTGGCAAAGCCCTGCTCTGCCTGTCCCTGCCTGTGCTGCAGCCAGCACAGTGGTCTGGCAAAGGCCACGTCTGGTCTCTCAGCGTGCTTTGCTCGGCCTTGCTTTTGAGCTTGCAGGCATAGTTCTGGTCAGTAAGGGGAAGATGCTAGTAAGAGATGAGAAATTCTGCTTTAAACTTGACTGCCTTGAAGTCAAATCCATCACGTTATAGTACAGTGAAACTCTTATTGAAACTTATGTGATTTAAAAAAAAAAAAATTCTTTGTGTGTAGGTATACATGACCTGGATTTGCCCCTAAATCATGATCTTGTATTTGACTGCTGGGAACTTAATTGTTGAGAGTGTGTGTTCAGCCACATTATACAGACTGTGCTGCCATCTGCAGGAGGTGCTATTATAAAAAGAGAATACAATTTGTGAGTGGGTTGGGTTTTTGTGCAGCCAGACAATTTTTTTTAAATATATGCTGTGATAAAAAACCATCGCAAGGACGCTTGGTGCCATACCAGCAGAGTAAATGGCAGTCCGTGGTCTTTTTCATTCATTTTCAGGTGGAGGATCTGTATTTTGGATGAGCCCTCTGGCATCCTGAAATTGATTTTTCAGTTGGGTTTTTTTTTGTTGTTGTTGTTGCCACTTTTTCACCCACAATTCTGTTCTTTTAAACTACTGAAATGGGGGTGGGGGATGGGGGAGGTGGGATGAAAGAAAATCTGAAACTTCACTTCCACTGACAACCCCCTGAGAATTTCTTTAAAAGCCAAAGTATTGCAGTGGCAAATGGAAACATCAACTTTTTCCTTCTGAGGAGGGCGTTTTATCAGAATAGAAAAGATGATGTTCAAACATTTTTTTTTTTAAATAATAAAAAAGCCCAATAAAAGTCAAATGTGTCTTTTTTGATCAGCAGCAAAAAGACAAAGACCAGCCCTTTAAGTCAGATGCTGTAAACTGACCTTTGGAGAAAAAGGAGAGGTTTGAGCGGTTTTCCACAAATGCTAATGGCCTAGAAAACATGTTTACCCAGGGCTGAGGGAAGGCTGCTGCGCTGCTACCAGCTCAAAATGTCCGGAATGACACTTTCATTCACAGATGTCTTTCGTCTGTGCCTCAGAGGTCCGGGGTCAAAGCAGCACCGGCAGGCAGGTAGGCAGGGGCGAAAGGTTTGATCAGTCTGTGATGGCTCCGCTCGCTCTGCATTTGTCTCTGAGGTATTGCCGCCCGGGGGGGACAGTTGGGCTCTGGTCCTACTCACTTCCTATTATCCATGTGACTTGTCTCCGCCACGCTGGAGTCACTTTGATTTGCCTGATGTACTGCTTGACAAAGCTGGGTGATGGCTGAGAAGTGGATCCAGCTGCTCTGAAAAGCGCACACCTGACATGCCAGTCCTGGTGCGGGCACATCATGGGGAGCATTTTTTAATTCAATGTAATTTATGCATTCTTGCAGTCCTGTGTGTGCCTGGCCTGTCAGCTAGTGCCTAGATGAAGGCTGACAGTTGTCATCCAGGGCCTGAAGGTAGCCTCACATAATGACACATTAGACATACTAATGATGTTTTCTTCTGGCATAATGTTTTCTTCTCAACTTTCGTCTCTTCTCTCTCCACCACCCCCTCCTCCCTCTCTCCCTCCCTCCCAACTACAGGGATGCTCAGGACACAAACACGCCAAGGAGACTGCGTCTGCAGAGAATGTGGAAAATGCTTTACCCAACCCAGTCACCTCAGGACTCATCAGAGGTCCCACACAGGTACCTTTTCACACTCAACACTTGCTTTCTCCTATTCTCACTTGCCTGTTTTCAGATCTGCCTAACAAAATCCCAAGAATTATGTTTCACATACCATGTTAACCTAAGTAATTCCAGTACCTAAATCTAATAGACAGGTTTTTTATTTTTACAACTATTGCTCTTGTTCTGTGGATATTGCTTACCTGATCCCCGCCCGAACTCCATACAATTGAAATGCATTTAAGATAAGTCTGTTTGCAAATGTTTTATTTTAATTAGAGTAGGGTACTCAGAAATGAATATGCTAATGAATTCTGTTGCCACCAGCACAAATTGAAATCAAAGTACCCCTTTCAGCATAACATAAGGCTTTGTTTTGCCTCATCGTTGCTTTTGACAGGAACATTTTTGTGGGAACCGAGATTTTTCTGCAGACTGGTCAGCCCTAAAATGGGAAATCCCTACCAGCCATTTTTAACCTGGTGCGGTCTGTGGTTGAGGTTGTAGGAGGCTAAAGCCACGGGTGTCAAGAGACCTCCTGAGCATTGCAAGAGACAGTTAGACTAGCAGGTTCCTCCTGAAAAGTGTGAATGATGCATACATAAGCCAGTCTGATGCAAAATGACAGAGGCCAAATGGTAAGTAATGCAAGAAGAGGGTCCCTTTACACATACACTGATAATTAATGTTGTCAGTGATTGCTTTCTTCAGCACCGAAGTCTGAATTAAAAAGGGCAGTGGCCCTAGGCTGCCATTAGCACACTCTCTTACAGTAAGTGTTACGGTAAATTGGTGTTTTCCGGCCACAGGCTAGTAGCTGGTGTCTTTTTTTTGAACGTAGTTAATCTGTAATGGTCTCAAATAATGTACACACACTAACGAAGCTTGAATGTTCATCTGTTAACAAGCCCCCTTGTTCCCACAGTGGTATTTGAGTCTAATGGACTCCAAGGTACTGAAGTTCACACCACCTCCGCAGATGCCCCAAAACAAGTATGTTTTACTATTAATTGGATGTTTGGTTTTTAATGTGGTAGCTGGGAAAAAGTTGCACAGTAATACTCATAAAGCACTGACTGTTTTATAACATGTATAAATAATAATGGTGTTGCTTCATTTTTAGCTCTTAAATTTTTTAAGTGTTTTATCAAAGTCTGTTATATAGAGAGTCAGTTAATTATAAAGCAGGTAGTTAGTGTTTAAATAAACATGTTACTGGCTTACTGGGGACTGGGTGGGATAGGTAACTCTGTAATGCACAGTGATACGTAATAGTGAGATAGTATGTAAAGAATTTCTAGAAATAACTTGGTTTTACAACTAACACATTTTCTGCTTCAGCAATACAAATAACACTTAGTCTGTATTTTTCTGAAGCATATTCATACCCTGATATCCAGTATCTGGCCTTTGAAAGGCTCTCATCCTCCAGTTTCTGTGGACTCTCTGTGGTGGTGTACTTTCCTATTTCCAGTATACAGTTTCCTGTCACAACAAACACTTCTCAGTGCTCTGAATTGTACAAGACAAAGCTGTTATATAGAAAACCATTAAACTGAATTTGTTTTTTGTCTTTGGAGACCAGCATCATAACTTGGACTTCCCACCCCATCTTCCAGTTTGGCAGGTGGGTTTCAGGGCACACCTCATGGGCAGTTTTCTTTCATTGTGAAACTGCCTCCAGCATCACTCACTTTTTCTTTCCTCCACAGTTTTAGTATAATTTGGACTACAGCACTTTTCCTGTCCTCCTGTCTCTTATAAACAATTTCAGATGATTTCAGCCATGCTTAGAGCATGCATTTGCATGCTGATCCTGCCTTTGTGAAGTTTAGGAGTTGGTTTCTGCTTGCTCAGTACCATCCTCATCATGCACATTGCATAGGTCATATGCTGCACCCTTCATAGATACTCAGCACCTTCTCTGTTGCACTTGCATCTTTCTGGCCCAAAGACCATGTGGGGAACCCAGCTGCTGCCACAGGAATATCCGAGTCGCTGTCACACTGTAGGAGTGGCCAACAACTCTCATAAAGATTTCAAGATGGCATAGCACTTCAGTAGTTGTTGTGGGCAGCGTTTGCTTCGTTTTTGTGGGACAGTAGCAACAAAATTACACTATAGTTGGAGAACTAGATGAAAGTGCTCTCCTTATGATGCTTATCGAACAAAATTGTGCAAGGACATACCTCTCAGTAGAAGTATGTGACAGGTGAAACAGTGTAGCTCTGCAAACTAGCTCAACTAGTCTTTGGTTCTCATCATTTTAGTAATGTAGATTTAGTAAACCTAAGCATCTTTAAAATGCTCTTTCATCTTTTCATGCTCACTGTTTTATCTCTTGTGTAGTTGAGATCAGATTCTGAAGGCATCTGGGCTTTTTTCTTCTAAAAGACAATCTAAGGTAAAAGTTGGAAATAAATTTAAAAAAAAATCTGAAATGGCCATATCTATCCAAAAAGGGATGTGGCATCTCAGTCCACATCTGGACTCTTTCTGTAATTCGGGTTATATTACTGCACAATAAATTTACTCATAATCTTGTCTTTGTAAACTACTGCCATGCCACAATTTATTGACTAACTTCTTCCACAGCAAATGTAGCTTGCTCTTGCAGTCTCAGTCTGTGTCAATCTGTCTTCAAAGTATTTGATTAAATTACAGTGTCTCTCAATATAGCAGAATAGTGGGTAGGGGTTAGCTTCATGAATCACTTTCTCTCTTGCCAGTCAGTATTTCTTCCACAGAAGCTGCAGTATGATCACTTCTCTGGGAGATAGTTCCCTTTCTTTTGTCTTGTTTGCTTCTCAGCATCAGCCTTTGTCTCAGTTTGTCAGCATCTGTGTCGGTTAGGATTATTCAGTTGTCTGCTGTTTTGCTTGTTCTCATCATGAGCAGGCTTTGCACTCCCCCAGAAGACTCCACCTGCACAGTCCCTGGGCGTTAGAGAGGGAATACACTCATTTCTACCTGCAGCTGTAGGGGCCTTCAGAAGCGCAGAAACGAGCTTGCTCTGAGAAAGATGCCTGCAGCATTCTGGTAACATTACAATTTCCCACTTTAAACATTGTCACTCTGTGTCTTCATTTCATTTCTTAATTGGGGACACATCTATTCATGAGAGCTTATGGTGTAAAGTCAGTTCAAGTTACAAAAGTGCCATGCACGCGCCCCAAGCAAGAAACAATAGTTACCACGTTCTGTAGCTTGAGAATGAAAGGGACTTTTTTTTAATGATAAGTGGAAATGATTCACTTTACATAATGTTTCCTCCTCACAGGTAAAATATCTTCCCCTGAGTAGTCTGCTAAAGAGTAAAAATATTAACATTAGTATTTCACAGTTCCCCCATTCCCTTCAGTAGTCAACCAGAAGATCATCTCTAAAGGTTTCCTTTATGAAAGAATGTTAGGTAGGGCTTTTAAAATCCCCCAGCATAGTAGCTTACAACAGTGCTACGTTATATAGCAGTTTCCTCACAGAATAATTCTAATTCTGCATGTTAAAAATAGGGTCTACAGCCAGGCTTTGTCAAAAATGAGACAGCTAAATCTGTATTTAGGTGTCTAAATAGGAAACCTACTTTAGGGTTGTGAACCACCAACAGGAGATGCGGGTATTCAGCATCACTGAAAAGTTAGGCCACCTGTGGGGGCATGTAAAAATGATCATACACACCGACTTTTGGTAATATTAGCACTGGGCTCTGTTTCATGCTTTGTTATTAGCACCAATTAAATATAAACAAAACTTAGGAAAGATGATGCCATTTCCTTCATAACATTATTTAGTGTGGTTTCTTTCTTGTACCAGAATGCTTAAAAAAAAAACCCCAAACCCCCCCACATTTTTATATCGAATTTCCCTGAACTCTGTGGAATATTTCCTTCTCTTCTTTGTCTAAAGGACAAAAAATGCTTATTACATACCCCAAGTCAATACAATCTGTGCAAAGTCATGCAGATTCTCTTGAAATGCTGCCATATTAAGCATATTAAATATTATTATAAAAGCTAAATATCCCAATATATTAATAATTAAACTTGCTTATCCACAATGAATATGTATCTTAATTTGGAATACACTAAGCAACATCCGAGACCTGATTTAGTGGGCATGAATTTGGGGAGTGGACTTCAGTTGCTTATACGTGTCAAGACAAAAGCTGGTTTCCCTTCAGAAGGGTCCCTGTGACCATGTGTACCTCGAAGCTGCTACAGCTCTCAAAGCAAAACTCTCCCAAAGCATGGGGTCATTTCAGAGACGCTGGCTGATACTGCAGCATCGCAGCCAGAAACCCAGTTCCCAAGTGAATTCATTCAGTGTCACAGGAGTCTAGCTTGCCTTTGTGGAATGGTGATGACATTTCTAATACATATACCTTGCGTTTGAGTTCTGTTGCTGTGTTTTTAAAAAACATACAAAAACTTAACCTGCTTTAGGAATGTAGTTTATTCTCCATCAGTGATGTGTCAAACAATATGTTCTAAAAATTTTAAGGGACAAGTAATTGGGTGTTCATAAGGCGTTAGAAATGAAGAGTTCTGTCTAATTGAGAGTATATATATGTGAATCATATTTGCAGGTCTGGAGCCAGAGACACCTTTTGTGTGAGTGAAACAAGCAAACCCCCCAAAAACTCTAACCTTTGCCCTCTCTGGAAAAGCACCTTTTTACTTACAGAAAATCAATTAAAAGCTACAGCCCAGGAAAAAACATGAACTGTTGGTATCAGGGATATCTCTGGCTGAAGCTCTCCCCATGCCAGAAAGCAATGGTGGTCCTTTTCTGTGAAAGAGCTGTGGGCACAATAGTTCTTGAGCCTCATTCACTGAAAAGAGAGGTGCGTAGTAGGTCCTGTGTGACAGGGGTAAACCACTTTCATTAAGGAGTCCATAAGCTTTAATTTTCTCCACTGCGAATAATTTATAATATTTCTTTAAGTGTTTGATACTTGAGATAGTATAAATGTGAATAGTCAAGAATTTGGGGGATAGACAGATTGGAAAGAACCATCAAGAAAACACCATATATATATATATATA